TAATGGTCACAAGTAAACCTGATATAAATAACATCGAATGTATACCAGTTTACGAAGTACACTTTATTATAAAGCTATAATTGTTCTGATTTCAAAATCAAAATTGCAAATTATGACATTCTCTTTACTACAAAAATAATAATAATAATAGAGTATCTATTGTAGGTTTTTACACGTTCTCCTTCTTCTTATCCTTTAATGTTATTTATTATACGTAGAAGTACCCTTTACATATTAAAAGTTTGAAAGCCGCTTTACGCAAAAGTTTTATAGCCATAATGGAAACGAAGATAATAATACGACAAATGTCTATCAATAAAAGTAAAAAATAAAATAATTTGCTTGTTCTAGTTAATTGTTGTAATTGAACTGCGTTACAGACTTTTGTCAAGTCATATTTCGTTTTCCTTGATATCGCTTATTTGTTTCAGAAAATTATTACGCTTAAAATAAATAATTTAAATAAATATATATTTACTTACAAGATTGGCTTAGTTTCTAGTAACTCCATAGGCAGTAATTCCCTTATCATACCACACAGAATATTACACAGAATTGAAGAAAAAATGGTTAGATGCTTTACGAATGAAGAGAGTTTTATTTAATAGTATTCTGCTTAATTATGTAACTACGACGAAATTTGGCTTTATGTGTTAAATATTTAATCAAAACTGTATGCGATGATTTTAATCTCAAGTCCTCCCAATTTCAATCAATAAATTCTATCCCTTTCGTTAAAGAACATAAAATCGACTGAATTGAAAGACGCAATACGATTATTTACATTTTTATTTATTGTAATCATTTATTTACGTGATATTATATGTCATTTATTACATTTATTACGTAATATACAAATTTATTACCGTAATTAAAAAATACTTCAAATATATATCTTAGGAACTTCACCGTACGTGTACCCCATAGACGTAGTCTATATATAAAAAATATTTTTATTTATAGGAGATTAGTACTGAAAAGAAAAACATTTTGTCTGTTAAATTTTCGATAGATGTCGCTATCTAAAATCTTACATCTGCACATAAAGCTATCTTTTTAAAATATGAGGGTACTAAGAGTTTTACTTTAATTACAAGCACCTCAATTTTAGCCGATTAATTTTGTAGGTATCCCACCTACCCCAATTACGCCAAAACATTAAAAATGTTTGAAAAATATACATAAAAGTATTTTTTAAAGGCTAGATTGTCCCGCTTATTATGACTGATAGAATAATGCATAAGCAGCTATTAGGAAAATAAACATCTAAAGGAGGGCTTTAGCATTATTTATCACCCTTTAACTCCAGAGACACTCAACGGTCCTCTGTTCAAAAGTGGACTTTCATAGGTTGTGTAATAAATAAATAAAAGAAAATCATAATTTTACCACTTACATTGTTTTTTGTAGAAAATATTAGAGTCACAGCCTATCTACACATTTATTAGATGTATAGATAAGGCTTTGTTGTTTACTCAAACTTTCTACCCTCTTTCAATAGGGACTCCTTATATTATGATTGTGTATTGTGCCAGGACAATAACAAGAACTCCAATATTAAAATTATTTTGATGGAACATTTCTAAATATTTTCCCTGGGAAATTTACTAATACACATTCTACATAATGTATAAATATTATAATTATAGATTTGCGAGTTCTTATACCAGTTTTTCATTTTCTTTACAGAAAAAGCTTTTAAATATATTGTGACCAAATTTTTCATTAGTCTGAGAAAGTTATCATGAATTTTATCTAAGAGGAAGAACTTGCCCTATTTTGTTAATAGCTATGTCGGGTTGGATACTAGAATACTTAGGTCATTATGTCGTCAAGCAAAAGTGCTCTCCATACTTGCATACATAAACCATTGTATAAAAGTTAAGAAGAAGTAGAAAATAAAACACTATAATTTAATAAATGTTATCATAACCTTTATACATAGATAGAAATAGTTCTTAATTTTAGTTTCTTGCTTACTAACTACTAACTGTGTAGACTCGTTTACTTAAATTAAACCCATTACACTATTCTATATCATACAAAACGTTGCCTGGTAATTATATTTTTTCTATTTCACCGTAAAGCATTACTTTAGTCATAGAAATTACAAGGAACCTGTTACAATTTACGTTCCAATCAATAAATAACGAAATATAACATACAAGTGTAAATAAAACTTTCACAACGTTACATTACGTTTTTCAAGAACAATTAGGTTTTTCGTTGGAACTAATTTATATGATTCAGTGAATAGGATTTAATTTCAAGTGAAAGGTATGAGTAACGCACACAGTTAACACTTGCGTGCCCATTATAATATTTATGAAAAAATACTCTTTTGAAAATGTTTATCCATAAAGGTTACCTTGACATTTTTCGTCCTCTTTATATTGCCTTATGTGGTTAAATTGTCACTTTTAATATGATGTTGATGTCATATAAATGTAATGTGTTATATTGATAGAATTGTAGCAATTATTTTAGCTTTTCCATTTTTTTTACGTTTATAGTCTTCAGTAGCTAAAAGGTATTATTGTTACGAGAAAATTATTTGAAAATATTAGTATTATAATCATATTAATAGTTGTGCTCGTTTTTGACATTTTTTATAACATTGGGTGACAAACGAGCACACAGTCTACATGATGGTAATTGAACGCTGTGGCCCCTAGACATCCACGTTTATCTTTAACTAAGAATCAAAATGCAAATACGTTGTCACCCCTGAGGACTAAGTTGGAATGCCTCGATTCCAATAAAAGGGTCACCGGATCTCAACACTCATCATACGAAACACAGTAGATATTCGCTGCTATTTTACGCTGGTATTCTGTGAGAGCGTGGTCCTGTCCCGGTCGAGCCAACCCATTCGTGCTACATCTATAATATAGCTGTTGCGTGGCTCTACTAAGTAAAGAAACATATTATGTATTCTGACATTTAAGTTTCCTAAAAGATCTGCTATTATTATCCTCAAACTTTCACTAGCTGGTAGGAATGTTTCTGCTTGCTTAGGAATCCGTCTGAATCGTTACCATCTTCATATTATCTTTTGCTGCCGTCTTTTGCTGTAGGTATATGGATGTGGAGGAGGCGAGAGAGGTGTGTCAGGATCGTGTTAAGTGGAATTCACCACAACACACACACACACACACACACAGCCCCGGATCTACGATTTTCTTGAACCGGGGCAAAAACTTGATAGTGACGCCTCCTATCTAGCGTGAGATTTGTTAAAAAAGTCATGAATACATAATGGGTGGTACAAATTTTTCTGTAATTGGGACAATAAGAACCCTTTAATAAATTCGCACTCTTTATTTATTACCTATTAGCCAATAACGTTTTAATTTGTGTGACATAGAATTATTTTAAGAAAACATATAGCCAGGAAAGACAGCAGACAATCAAGACATTTAGGATCTTTAGGTCTCAGCATTTTTTTCTCTAATCTTGCTACAACTTTACGCGGCGTGCTTTCTTTTTTGCGAAAGAATCTATTAATTCATCAAAGTCTATCTCAAAGGCATTTTATTTTCAATGGCTAAGATCGCGAGGCCAGATAAACGTTCCTGACACATTGTTGAACGCAGATAGGATTTAATTATTTTCAGTTTGCTGAAGCTTCGCTCACAGCTTGCAGGTGTCGAAGGTAATGTGTAGTATATTCTTAAAGCTATACTAACATTAGGAAACGCTTCTTGCAAGTCATGCTTGCACAGATATTGTAACAGGTCAAATGCACTTGATTTTTCATATATATCGGTATATTAGCTCTTTAAAAACGGCAAGCTCTTGGCAAAAATCAACTGGATTCAAGTCTTTTGCGTATTTTCGAGCTAGATTGGCTCCATTTTTTCGCAGATCTTCAGTTGACATATTAAAAAACGCGTGACCACTGAGAAAGGCAAAATTATTATGTAGACTCTTTGCGCTCTCTACTCTTGTTTTAATTTCTGTTAAAATTTTGTCAAATACTACTTTTATACCTTTGGAAAATAAACCAGTTGGATCTAGCGTTCTTGATTCGTCCTCGCAGATTTCATCGTGTTGCCTTTTTTTTTTGGAAATTCATTTGATTTTAAGGACTGGCTCCATTTATAACTTTTCGGATACAGGTAAAGCTTCTTTGATCCAATATTCTATTGGTTTTTCTCTCATTCCTTGCAAGATCTTAACAAGACCTTCCACTATCCCCACAGAGCGCGAAATGATAATACCCTCTTTTTGTATTTCTACGTTCACTCTATTCATTTCTCGAAGAATATTATCCCAAATTGTTATGTTGAGGATAAATTTAAAATCCATCACCGCATGTAGTAAATGACCAGCTTCGTACTTAGATTCTGCGACTAGAGAAGATTCTTCAATTTCTTCCAGAGCTTTGACAACTTCCGGTAAATTATTTAATAGTGCAGTAACAGCCTGGTGTTTAGCCGACCATCTGGTATGAATACTTCCTTTTAGGTTCGTTTTTGTACACTTTTGCATTATTTTCCACCGTGTGGTGGATTCAACAAAGAAACATAATAGTTTTTGTACAAGCCCTGTAACTGCTTCTGGACATGATGACGCTGAATGCACGCCCACAAGCACAAGTACAAACTCTGCCAGCTCGTTAATTTGCATAACTCTGGATTGAACTCCTTTATATATGCCAGCCATGTTAGATCCGTTGTCGTTAGATTGTCCACGACATTTTTGCACATCTAAACCATCAGCGTCTAGTTTTTCTAGAATTCGTTGTGTAATATATTCTCCAGTCTTTCCATCAAATTCAATAAAATCAATGAAGCTTTCCTTTATTTCACATCCAGATTCTGTTGTTTTTATAAATCGAGTCACCTGGCTCATTTGTTCCGTGTGAGATACATCTGGAGTGCAGTCCAACATAATGGAGAAATAGTTGGCTTCCTTGATGTCATTAATAATGGTATTTCGAACTTTGCCATTATATCGATAATTTCATTTTGTATCGTTTTCGACAAATAGAATATCTATCCTTTTTTTAAGTGATCTAAATGGTATTTGAGAGTAGGATCGTATTTAACGAGCAAATTTATCAAATTAAAAAAAATTCCTTGACTAGGTTGAGGAAAATTTTCAGCGAAATCTGTCACTATTTCTTTAGAACCTCTAAAAGAAAGACAGTTTGTGGCAAGATACATGACAGCGTCGATTACTACATGCAGAATATGTCTCCACTTTTCTTTCTCAGAGTGAATTAATCGCTCTATGTTGCAATCGATGCCCTGACACAATTTCATTTGCTGTAGACGAATTTTCCATTTAATAAAATATTTTTTATGACTTTGTGATACTTCGTGTTCAGCTAATCTTTCCGAAGTCTTTTTCCAATTAATGAGACCCTCATTACACAAGGATGATGTAGAAGTTCTGGCGAATAACTTGCCGGCAGTGCAGTAAAGTGCATTTTTTGTTTTCGAATAAACAAGCCAGGACCTTTTAATATTTTCTTTATTCGCCATTGTTCCGAACCACATGCTATGTGTCAAACGCCTTCCGTTACGTTCAGTAGACCTAAACTCTATATTATTTGGATGTTCATCATTTAGTACGAGTAATACAGCTTGTTTGCTAAAGAATGATCTTTGTTGATCTGTCATTTTCTCGTGGTCCGGCCACGTACCTGGATCCATTACGTCGATAATTTTGTCTCTGCTACTTGACTGTAATAAGTCACTAGATGCTAGCTGAACGTCATCTTCCGGCTGAGATAATACCGACGATGAAGACTGTTTACCTTCATCGGAGCCTTGAAATTTTGACTGTTCGGTCAAATAAACTTGAATATCCAGGATACAAGAGTTATTCGGAATACCCGGAATCGTATCGGAAGTATGAACGGAGCTTAACGATGAGCCTCCTTCGTGAAGCCACTTAATCATCTTAGAAGCCGATTTATTTACGTCTTCAATTTTGTCTCTAGCCCTTTTTCTGTTTTCAGCTCCAGAAAGCTTTTTTCTTAGTGCGCTCAT